TTTGGAGTCACATGTAGGCTGGACCAGATATGTATGGCAGTTTCCTTCCCTAATGGGCATTAGCGAACCAGATAGATTTTTCCAACAATTGACAATGGATTCACAATCATCATTAGAATTTTAATTCCAGTGTTTTATTGAATTCATATTCCATGATTTGCTGAGGCAAGATTTGAACCTGGCTCCCCAAAACATTACTTGGATTTCTGGCTTAACAGTCTCGACCAACACCTTTCCCTAGGCTCTGGTGGTTAGTTATTGATAACAAAAGCCTTTGACTGCCAACAGCACTGCGATTAGTTCTCAGTAACTGAACAACTTGGATCTGGGAACAGAGTGCAGAGAGAGGTGATTTGATCTCCACCTTCTCAGGAGATGTGTCTCTGTTCTCTGCAGTCGAAACCCACTTTGAACTTGAAGAAAATCAGTTCATCTCTTTTTCAGCTGTGACTTGTAAGCTGTGACTCTTAACTGACAATTCAGAGCCCGTTTGTAAGTGAACCAGCTGCCTTGCATTTCTTGCAAACCAATAGAAGCATCTGGAGGAATGCAATGGCAGCATAAGAATCACGAGTTTATCTCAGGAACCAAATGAATAGGAACTGCTGAACTGCCTTCCCAGTTTTCTTCCAACCATACTTTTTCTTGTCTATTCGTGAGTGTGAGTGAGTGAGTGAGTGAGTGAGTGAGTGTGAGTGAGTGTGTCGGTCGGTCGGTCAGTCACCAACGGTCCACAACCGACCCCCAGTAGATAGAGTGTAACTATGTGGAATGAGTAGTAACGCCTGTTCAGTACAGAAACCCGGTCGATGTATCCTGTCAACCCGGGCCTGAACATTAGATAAATATGGGAATGTTATGGATCTATTGTAAAATCTGTAACCTTTGTCATGAGTCGTGGAAGTTGTCTTTTTGCATTGTTGGGTAGATGCCAGTATTGTACCGGAACAGCGTGGCTAGCACCATAAGCCCATAAGATGCAGGAGCGGAAGTGGGGTATTTGGCCCACCGAGTCTACTTTGCCCTTAAGTGGATCATAGCTGATCAGATAATCTTCAATTCCACTTCCTTCCCTTAGCTGCATGACCCATTAATGATTGAAAAAAATCTTAGTCTCCAATATACTTAATCACCCAACCTCAACAGTTCACTGTGGTAAAGAATCCCACAGATTCACTACTCTCTGAGGGAAGAAACTCCCGATCACCTTCATCATAATTGGGTAATACCTAATACCTTCTAGTCCTAAACTTTCCCATAAGGGAAAACAACCTCTCAGCATCTACTGTGTTAAGCCCCATGAGAATCCTTTATGTTTCAACAAGTTCAGCTCTCATTCTTCTCGATTTCAATGAGTACAAGCCCAACCCACTTAACCTCTCCTAATAAGGAAATCCCTTCATAAATGGTATCAAGCTAGTGAACCACCCATAGACTCCCTTTTGTCCCAATACATACTTCATTAGATAAAGGGACCAAAAGTGTTCACAGCATTTGAGGTGTGATCTAACCAGTGCCTTGTATGGTGTTAACAAGACTTCTCTATTTTTATACTCCATTCCTTTGAAGTAAAGACTAACATTCCATTGGACTTTATTACACACTGACCTTGTATGCTAGCTTTTTGTGAGTATGCACATGAAAATCTCCAAATCCCTCTGTGCTGCAGGTTTATGCAGCCTTTTTCAATTTAAATAATATTCTCTTCTGCATTCTTCCTTCAAAAGTGCATAACTTCACATTCTCCCACATTTTATTCCAATTGCTAAGTTATATTGCCAAGCTATAGCCCTCTGCTAGATTCTTTGCGTCCTCCTCAGTACTTGACTTCCCATCTATTTTGGTGTCATCTGCAAACTCACTTCGCTTACCCAAATCATTAATATACATTGTAAATAATTGTGGCCCCAGCATTAATTCCTGTGACACTCCAGAAATTACAATTTGCCATCCTAAAAATATCCTCCTTATATTCTGTCTTGTATTAGTCACCCAATCCTCCATTCATGCTAATATACCACTCACAACACCATGGGCTTTTATCTTATAAGTAGCCTCATGTATGGTATCTTGCTGAACACCTTTTAGAAATCCAAATGTATTACATGTACTGGTTCCTCTTTATCTCTACAGCTTGCTTCTCGTCAAAGAATTCTACTAAATTTGTTAGGTATAATTTTCCCTTCAGGAAGCCATGCTCACACAGCCTGATTACATTATACAATTCTCAATGCGCAACATTGTACCGGATGCTAACATTTTCCCAGGGACAGATGTTAAGCTAACTGTCCTATAATTACCTACTTATTGTCTCCCTACTTTCTTGAATACCAATGTAATATTGGATATTTTCCAAACTTTGGGATATTTCCAGAATCTAAGAATTCTTGGAAGGTTACTGCCAGTGCATCTACTATCTGTGTAGCTACATCCTTTAAATTTCTAGGATGCAAACAATCATCTCTAGCGATGTATAAGCTTTTAGCCCCATTAATACCACCAGTAATTTTTTTTTCCAGTGATAGTTATTGGATTTATTTCTCCCCCTTTCCTTTGTTCCTTGATTACTTAGTGTTTTTGGAATGCTATTAGTGATTTCTATTTCTGGAAGTGGGCCAGATATCTTCAGGATCATTACTGGTGGAGGGTCATCAGGCCCTATTACCTTTTCAGTATCGAGTACCTTCAGCTATTTCTTGATATCATGTGGAGAGAATTGAATTGTCTGGAGATTGGCATATTTAATCCTGGAGGAGGCTAAGATGGAAGAAAGTATTTGCATATGATTCAGCTTTGTATTTTACTGTGATGTTCTGGGCTTCCCCATCATTGAGATGGAGACATTTGTGGTGTTTCCTCCTCATGAATTGTTTAATAGGTCACCACCAGACATAACAGGATGTGATAAATTATAGAGTTTAGATTTGATCTGCTTGGCATACAAGCTGTCCTGTCTTGTCGCTTCACTGGGTTGAAATCTCATTTTTAGGTATGCCTGCTGCTCCTGGAATTCCCTCCTGCACTCTTTATTGAACATGATTGATCCTCTGATTTGGTAGTAATGGCAAAATGGGAGAAATGTCAGGCCTGAGGTTATATTTTATGGTTAATACAATTTTACTGCTGTTGGTACCCCATTTTGCCATGTAGATGCCCATTGCTAGATGTTAGATCCATTTGCATTCTATTCAGCATCATGGTAGTGCCACTTGATACAATACAAGCATCCTCAATGTGAAGTTAGGACTTCTCCATAGGACAACATGATGGTTTGGCTGTTAGCACAGCTGCCTCACTGTGTCAGGGACCTCGGTTTGATTTCACCCTCAGGTGACTGTGTATGTGGTGTTTGCATATTTGCCCTGTGTCTGTGTGGGTTTTCTCTGCGTGCTCTGGTTTTCTCCTACAGTCCAAGGATGTGCAGGTTATGTGGACTGGCCATGCTAAATTACTCAGTGTCCACAGCTGTGCAGCATAGGTGGATTAGCCATGGGGAATGCAGGGTTACAGGGATAAGGTCGAGTGGTGGATCTGGGTGGGATGTTGTTTGTAGGGTCTGTGTGGACCTGATGGGCCAAATGGCTTCCTTCCATACTGTAGGGATTCTATGATATTGACTGTGTGTTGGGCCCTTGTACTGCTCGCTGTTTCACCTGTTTGTGTTATCAGAAACTTCAGTCCTTTCATTCAAATGATTAATATAAATTGTAAATAATTGAGAAGTCAGCATTTCTTCTCATTGCCCTTCCCTGGTTTCAGTTTACTGAACCCAATCATAAGTTTTATTGCAGTTGTGCATTCTGTTACATGATCTGACCTCCACTTTTTCCAGGAGATGTCATTGAACAGAAATCAGAGGTTGAATGTTGATTAATTTTCCTCTTCTAAGTCCAAGCTTACAGGTGCCTGTGCTGGTAATCTGACTACTGCCTCAATTGAAATCAACTAACATGGCTTGGAGCTTTGTGACTTCATTCTTCATTTCCAGCTGACGTAGTTCTCCATCAGAGCCACTCTGTGTAAATGTACTATCTAATCGAGTTGAATCTAGTCATGGCCAGAACAGTTTTACACACTGTCAAATAAAAAAAAATACTTGATAGCATGTAAAATGGACACCATCTACCTTGCCCTGCCATGTAAAGTGAATTTCATCTCAAAAGATATAAACACATCTGAAAGATTTGTAGCATCAGTGGGTTTACAGTCTGAACCATGTCAGTTATGCACAACTGCACAGCTATACTCAGAATTATTTCTAGGGGAGGGCAAGTCAGGGGAACTGCTTCAGCCTCCTGACATGAGGGCGTAGCAGTAGAGGAGTGATGGGGACACATGAACTGATACCAAAGGCACCTGGGAGGAACCACAGCCAGTGTGGAGTTGAGCTTGAAATAGGTGAGATCTTTTTCCTGAGGAGGGAGGGCCGTGCACATTGAAATTTGCCAAGACCCTGCAACCCCTATGCATGGCCCTGACTACTTCATGTCAGAACTGCTCACAAAGAACACTTTAACCTGTTCTATCTCTTAGTTTACAGAAGCTGTTTAATTAAGAGGGAGTCAAATCAGGTGGAATCCCTTTCAATATGATTAATGTAAAAACCACAAAGAACATCCTATATCCATTGGACTGAAATGGTTACCTGGAATTATTCAGGTATGACTGATACTTTATGATAATCATTTAATACACTCCCCTGTACATTACACAGGAAACACAAACAGCAACAGGGGAAAATGTGTTATTTATTTATGAAGTTCTGGACTATACTTTGGGGTTAAACGAAGATTCCCTTTGAAATCCCCAAGGTCTTATCTATCTAATATGTCTATATAAGAGGCAGATAAATGATATTCAGAGCATTTTAGCATGTTACTTGCATTTATGCATTTTGCAATGTATTGGAAATTCGCTTTAGTCATTCTGCATTCTATATTTGCGCCCCAGTTAAAGCAACTGATGTATGCAAACTACAAGAACACTTTCTTTCTCCTGGGATGACACAGGATAGCGACATAATCATTGGGGGAATGTTCCCCCTGAGTTTGTACGTTAATGTACCAGACCTTCACTACAGAACAAAACCTAAGGAGTTCAGCTGCACAGGGTGAGTCACAAGGTTGACGATAGTGTTGTTCATGCATTTAATCGTTTATTCCCTGTGATTCTAGTTACTGGCTTGCGGAACATCAGAATTCGAAAATAAAATGACGAATGCTTGAAAGTTACAATGAAAGGCAACACCTGCGTGATGAAGAGTAGAGGATTTGAGCAAATCAATCAAGGAACTAGGTATTGAGTACAAGATCGCGTTGTGATGCTATTTTGAATTCTGAAAAATAGTCACTGGATTTGAAACGTTAACTCTGTTTTCTCTGCACAGATGCTGACAGACCTGCTGAGTTTCTCCAGCAATTTCAGTTCTAGCTTGGGTTAAGTTCAATTTTGGACGATCGTTACCAACGGTAACTAGCTAAGCATATGTACACACCCATTTTTTTTTTCTCTTTCCATGAATTTACAGGCGAATAAAGCGGTCATCCACTTTATACCCCCACCCGAAGTTGAATTTTGTACCTGTAGTATTTGGAAGTAAGACAATATTGAGGCATGCAATGAGTTCTCGAACATTAGGATCCGTAAAACAATGAGTCCAACTCGCAAACTGCGTGCGATGATTTGATTTTGAACACCTGAGAATGAAGGGAGGAGCAGAAGTGAAGGAAGCGGTACTTATTGCATACGAGATATAAAAAATAGTTCAAAAGAGTGATGAGCGCAAAACTACTCATAAAACATAGGTGGGGCGAATCAGTACACAATGAGTAAGGTATAGGGTTTTTATGACGCAGTGGTAGTGTCCCTAACTCTGGGCCAGGAGATCGAGTTCCGGTCACATCCGTTCCAGGGGTGTCGTAACATGTTTGAACATGTTGATTTAAATATCAACAATACACAAGCAGTAGAGGTCTTGTGGTGCAGTGCCAGTGCTTCTACCTTTGGCCTTGAAGGCCTGGCTTCAAATCCCACCTGCTTCAGAGGCTTGCCGTCTTGCCTCATAATATGTCTACACATCTAAACTAAAATTACTTAATTCTCTGAAAAATTAGGTTTTCGTTGTGAATCATCTTTCCTGACAATTATTGGCTATTGTATTATGTTACTTTAACTCTTTGTTTTTAAGTCCAGAAAACACAGATATGATGTCTGAATGTTTGGAAGAATTTCATTTCTAGGATTTGATATTGCTAAAATGCATAATATTAATGTCCTATTCCTAACAGTCCTTGTGAAAGTAGTCATGAGCTGTGCTCTTGAATGCAGCTGGTGCCCCTTTAGCATGTTAACAGCGAAGCACATTTCTGTGGGTCTGCAGTTCCATAAAGGCCAGACCACATGAGGACATCAAATTTCCCTTTCTAAAGAACATTAATAAGAAAACATTTGATAAAGTGTGCTATCAAAAGTTACTGCAGAAAATAAATGTTTCTGGTGTAGTGGGTACATGTTGCCATGGATAGATGATTGGCTGGCTAACAAGAATCAGAGGGTATAAGATGACATGGATATACCAATTGAATGGGCAAAGATCTAGCAAATGAAGTGTAATGTACAAAAATATGAAATTGTCCATTTTAGCATGAAGAATGAAAAAAGAAATTCGAAGCTCCAAAGTGCAGACATATCTACATACGTAACTGCATGAATTAGAAAAGGCTCATGTGCAGACACAACAAATAATTATTAAAGCAAATAGACTGTTCCTAATTTATTGCAAAGGGAACTGAATCCAAATGTTTGTTGTATATGCATCAGGATACAGGTCACTAGTGAGATGCATCTGAGGTATGTGCACTGTTTCGGTCTTTTATTTGAAGAAGTATGTAAATAGCTAAGAGGTTTACCAGTCTAATACCTGGAATGGGAAAGTCAGTCAACCTTTGATGGAAGAGTTCAAAAGTATAAAGGTTTTTCTAAATAAGGAGAAATGGCTTTTCTGGCTGAAGTAACAATCAAGGATGTGCTGCCATTGGAGGGAATCCAGAGGAGGTTTACAAGAATGATCCCCAGAATGAAGGGTTTGGCATATGCGGAGCTGTTGAGGGTTCTGGGTCTGAATTTAATGGAGTTTAGAAGGTTGAAGGGAGCTCTCAATGAAACTTACAGATTACTGAGATGCCTAGATAAGTGGACGTGGAGAAGATATTTCGACTAGTAGGAGAGATTCAGAGTGAAGGGATGACTCTTCACAACTGAAATGAGGAGGAATCTCTTCAGCTAGAGGGTGGTTACTCTGTGCAACTCTGCCGAAGAAGGCTTTGGAGGCCAAGTCATTGAGTGTATTTAAGACAGGTAGATAGGTTCTTGATTAGTAAGATGACCAAGGGTATGTGGAGAAAGCAGGAGAATGGGGTTGACAAACATATCAGCCATGATCAAATGGTGGAGCAGACTCGATGAGCCAAATGACCTAATTCTGCTTCTATTTCGCATGGTCTTATAGTCCTTGGAAATGGCAGGTCAAACTGAGGAAGTTATTCAAAAGACACATGGGATCCCTTTCCTTGCAATGGGAGCAAATATGTATACATCTTGCAAAAGTTAGTAAGTCACAGGTGAGACCCAAACTGGAATATTGTGTGCAGTTCTGGGCATCCAAGACATTTCAGAATAAGTCAAAGTATTCGAGATGGTGCAGCCGACATTTAGTTAGAAAGGTAGCAGGCATGAGACAGTTCAGTTATGCGGACAAACAACAGAAACTGTAAACTTTGTGATCAGAGTAAAGGTCAGTTGGGCTTTGATGGAAGAGTCCAAAAGTCTGCAGTAAAAAAAGGAGAAACTGCTTTCTCTGGCTGAAGTAGCAATCAGCAGAACATACAGATATTACATAACTGGCTAAAATAAGAAATGATGAGAATTTATTTTGCTGTTATGTTCTGGAATGTATTGCAGGAATGCACAGTTGAAGTCAATTCAGTAATAACTTTTAAAATTAACTAAATGAACACTTTAGCAGGGAACATTTCCTGGGCTTTGGAGAAAGAGCAGGTCAGTGGAATTATTGGAGCATTCTATCTACCATCCAGCACAAACATGATGGCTTGAAAAGCCCCATTCTGTGTTGCATAATCCTGTGATCCTACAAAAATTTCTAAATGAAACATACTGCGCTCCCTATAGTTTGTGCTTTCTATTGAGCAGTATACAAATTAGACAATTCTTGAACCAGGCAGTGAAAGACATCATTTGGTTACAATATTATAATACTCAAAAGTCTAAGGCAGAGTTGTACATGTCAGGAGAAAGCTGTTTAGCAATGGACTATTTCGAGGAGCTGAGATGATGTTTCAAGTTTGAATCTGCATTTTGTCTTTGTTTAAAACATACTTCTGTTTCAATAAGAACAGAAAATGCTGGAAATCCTCAGTAGGTGTGGCAGCAATAGTGAAAAGAGACACTGAGTTAACATTTCAGTGTTGTGACTGCTTTGGTAATTTCTAATAATTGACTGCTAGAGACTGAGTACAAGTTCACAGCCATTTATTCAAAACTCAGGGAGAGCATTTCTCCAGTCTGACTGGAGTAGGATGCTGAGAAATACAGAGAAATTCAGTATTCCTATATGATTCTGGTCACATCACAGCTTCATTATCCAAATTCTGATCTTTCTTCATACAATCATAAAAAAAAATGCTTGTTCTAGTTTATAGGTTAATGTCCTTCATCCTCTTCATCCAGTCAATCCTATCCTGGCCTCGCATTGTTTTAACCTATTACTTATCATTGTCTATTACCTCCCTGATCACAATCCCCTCTGACTCCAAGCCTTCTCTGGAATGTTTTGTTAACACCAACTTCTGTTTCTACAAGGTTTGCCTACACATTCCTACTGGCACATGTGTCTAGAGTGCAAAAGTTTCATCTGTAATGTGAGGTTCATATAGAGAAATCTGCCCTTTTCTTTAAATATTGAATTCCTGATGTAAACCTTACAGTCTAATTCACTCCAACATTGATTCATCAGATCCACTTGGTCAGATCTCTTTTGTGTGAAGAAGATCCTTTACTCATACAATTCAATCTGCTACAGTGAATAATCATTCTTGCGTATAGAAATACTTAATCTCTCTGTCTTAAACCTACGTTTTGTGCATGTCCAATTACGCTGGAGTGTTAGATGCTAGGCTGGGTTGATATGTTCCAATCCCGGCCGTGCGACCAAGCAAGACTGCCACAGCAAGTATCACTCACTCACATTACTCTGTTGTATTTTATATAAAATAGAGAATTAGCCGAATCTTTAGAAATAAACACACGGGGACAATTTAAAACTCTTTACCCTCTAAAACTTCGTTAATTTCTCAAAGACGGTTGAGGGTGCGCAATACTTTCTGGCCTTCGAACTTCACATCTCTCCAATGAACCATCGTAATAAAAAAAAGCTTTCAAAGTATTAGTCGAGCAACCAATTGTTAAAACCAATTAAAGAATATCTGAGGTCTGTGATACTGAATTAATATATGCTGGACAGATTTGATTTCAGAGCCTTTCGCTGGTTACAGACGATGATCTTTACCATTGAAGAAATCAACAAGGAGCCGAACATTTTGCCCAGTATCACTCTGGGCTATAAGGTGTATGACACTTGTAATATCAATGCCCTGAGAGCAGCTATGTCTTTGCTTAGTGATGTTGGAGATGAAGTGCAAAACAGCACGTGCAACGGAGCAGCGTCTGTTCCAGCAATAATCGGGGAAGCCGGATCTCTTCAGTCCAGTATTATTGCAAGCTCTACAGGACCGTTCCAGGTTCCCATTGTAAGTTATGATTTGTAATCTCCTCCTTTATCATGTTCTTGGTGCCAGTTTCTCTGTCGTTCTACCATATGTTATGACTGAACGAGGACAACAACTTGCATGATCAAAGCCCTTTATATGGTAAATGAGCTCACAGCGCTTCAGAGGGGCGTGATCACGCATATATTGGCGTCGTGTAACATAAAGCTTCGGGGCATTTTAAAGCAAGAAAGATAAGTGGCGAGGCAGAGAGGTTTATGGAGAGAATTCCAGGGCACGGAGTTTTGGCAGCTATTGACAAGACCGCTATAGAGGGGTGAATGAAAGCGCAGATGTGTAAAGGCCAGAATTAGACATTTTGGAATAGCTGGTTATATGCCACCCAAGTTGCTTATCAGGCAGCTTTGGTATTAATGTTTAGACCAACTACAGCTATTCCGGGTATAACCGTCAAGCTAGTTCGACATTGATATCAAAACACAAGCACACTCGGAACTCCCGGAAAAGGCACTTTTATAAATGATGCAATGGGGATGTTTCGGTGCCTTCATTAAGAGTTGATGAAATGTTCCAGTGGAAAGTGTAATTTCTTTACTGCTGGGATTGATGCGAGTCCAACTGATTGTCGAAAGCATTTGGCCAGGTCCGAGCAATGAAGGTACAAGAACTGAACTGTCATTGGACCGAGCAGATTTAGTAGCAGTATTACAAAAGAATAAAAGATTCGGGCAGAATTGGTTGAAATAAACTTTGGTATACTTTAATTTTCTTACCATGAGATGCGAACGAATTGGCAATTTATAGAACAATATTCTCTAATAGTCCCTCATTGACCTGCCCCGCAGAGACTCTCAGATCAGCTTTGTGTCCTGACTGGGTTCAGCTGGATTGGCTGCAATGTTGGACTATTGGCCAAGTCTTGTCGGTCTGGGTCTTCACTGAGAGTCAGAATTAGTCATGCCCCTAATCGGTCTCAAACTATGTACAGTAGATTGTGGGTTAGGCCTTGGATGGTACCTCTTTCTTTATGGGCCTGATTTTGTCTTGAGATAAATCCTATCGCATTCCTTTGCTTCTTACAGGTCAGTTACTTCTCCACTTGTACCTGCCTGAGTGAAAGACGTAAATATCCTACGTTTTTCCGGACAGCGCCCAGCGATTATTTTCAGACGAAGGCTTTGGCGCAGCTGGTAAAGCACTTTGGCTGGACTTGGATTCGAGCTCTTGCTAATGACGACGATTACGGGAGATTTGGGATCCAGCAATTCATCGAACAGGTCACCGAGTTTGGCGTTTGTGTCGCTTTCTCATATATTCTGCCGAAGATTTACAACGCGGATAAGATATCTCAAATCGTGGCTGTGATAAAAAGATCATCAGCCAAGGTTATTGTCGTGTTCAGCCCCGAGAGGGAAATGCTTCAATTAGTTCAGGAGATCGCTAGCCAAAATGTGACTGGGATCCACTGGCTTGCTAGTGAAGCCTGGATCACTGGGGCTGTGCTTTATACAGAGCAATTCTTGCCGTATCTGGAAGGAGCGATTGGCTTTTCATTTCGTAGAGCAGAAATTCCTGGCCTTCGAGAATTTCTCCTCGGAGTGAAACCTTCCCCAAACGAGGGCAGTAGCTATGCAAACGTGTTTTGGGAGGAGCTGTTTGCATGTAAATTAAAACTGCCTGAAAATACCACCGAAGGATCAACTACTAGGGCCCGTTTATGCACAGGATCAGAGAGTCTTGAAGGTATCGACGCCATATACTCTGATACCTCACAGCTCAAGAGTATCGTACAACGTGTACAAAGGCGTTTATGCCATTGCCAACGCACTGAATCGCTTAAGCTTGTGTGAGAGCGGCAAAGGGCCGTTTATAAACAATAGCTGTGCAAGTATACACAACTTTAAACCGTGGCAGGTGAGCAGTTATGGAAAAATATTCCGAGACCTGCCGTTTTGATTTTTACCCCTTCTTTAAGACTAACGTATGAAAAATATTTGTAGATAAGTAAATGTAACGAGGCAAAGGTCAAACAACCTAATAGATATTGTAGTTATTCCAATGGTGTCAGCTCTATAGGAGCATGCCTCATGTATGAATGAAGATGGACTAAATGTCTTTCTCAATCCATCATTACCTAATTATCAAGCAAGGTGAGATCGTGGGTATCTAGTTGGGATTTAAAATCTATTAGATAATAGGATCAAGAGAAGACTGAGGAAAGGAGGAGAATTGTTGAACTGCCAACAGAATCAAAAGCCCAGGAGATTTTAGCCAACTGCATATATTCCAAATATAGGTGGTGGGTAGATATTATGACACTGTATTAGTCATCCAAACATTTTGGAGAAATAATTCGAAGAACTGGCGACCATATCCTACCATGGCTCTAAATCCAGCTCATAAAATATGGAAAGAAAATAAAAGCCAATTTAATACTGAGTTAACCATGGAACCATTGGATCGTCGTCAACATAAAGACCAGTTCATGAATGTCATTTTGAGAAGGAAGTGTTCCATCTTTATCTGCTCAGGAGTCTTCATAGATATATTCTAACGAACCTGTTCAGAGATGTTACTGTACTTATCTGGAGCAGGTGGGACTTGAGCCCAGTCCTCCTGGTTCAGGGGTATGAGTACCACCACTGAACTACAAGAGCGCTAGGCCTCTTTGTACGTCTAGTCTCCTGTCAGCATGGTTGCTTATAAACCACGCTCTGACATAGCCTGGAAATTGCATCAGATTGCTGCCCAATTGTTCAAGAATAAGGCACACCAACATTTGACTAGGATTACTCGAGATGGTAATAAATGATGGCCATACCAGTGATACTCGCACCTTAAGAGTGCGTTTTAATAATAAACTTTTCATTTGGGTGGAAAGAGATTTTAAAAAAGAGGTGATCAAAGAGGAGGGGTGGAAATGTAATGCTCTGATTAGCTACATTGTCATACCCCCCCCTTGATTACTGACAAATTATTCTGTTTTAATCATTTGGAAAAATGTGTTAACATTTTGGAATGAAGAGAGGAATTTTTTTCACTCATGGGGTTATGGGTGTTTGTAATTCTGTAACCTAGATTTGTATGACCAGTCATTGGATATATTTTAGAAAAGGTTGAATAGATTTTTGGGAACTAAATATTATCCAGATCCTGTGGTAAGTAAGAGTTGAGGTGCGATAACAACCATTATCTTATTTAACAGCGGTCTAGACTCCTGACCGCTTCCTGCTTCCATTTCTTATTATTAAAAATATTTTTATACAGCTCCTTCATTACTTAAAGGAAGTCAGATTCACCGACCAGTTTGGAGGGGAAATAGGATTTGATGAAAACGGAGATGCAATTGCATCGTACGACATGATTAATTGTCAGAGAGGTATCAGTGGTAAGGTGGAATATGTCCAGGTTGGTCGTTTTGATTCATTCGCAATCCCAGACAGGAACTTTCTCTGGATGAACATTCCATCGTTTGGACTGGTGGCAAAACTCAGGTATGATGAGGATAGCCGAACTCTTGTGTCAAGATCTAAGCGAACCCCAATGTGCTCAATGGTAGCAAATGTGTGCTGAAAGATCAACAGCTGACAATGTGGTAAATGGTTATGGAAACCAAAATCAACGAAGGAACGAGTTACTTAATTGGCACTTAGTTACACCAATTTTGTGGTGCAGAGGTAGTTTCTGGGTCAGAAACTACCTCTGGGTCAGAAGTTCCGGTCCAACTCCCACCTTCGTCAGAGGTGTGGTCGCAAAGGTTAATCGAAAGTAACAGTCACCTGTATACTGTTGAGAACATCAGATTCTATGAGTGAAAACCACGATAATATATTCACCAAATCCCGAAAAAGCAATTCTCTCCTTCCACAGATATTGCCGGACTTTTTGAATGCTTGCAGCATCTTTTTTTGTTTTTGTTATCAACTAGGAATATGCAGCATCCTATTCTTCCCATCCCCGCCTCCTTCCACCCCCCCACACCCTCACACCCATTCAGTGTGCGTTTGGAGATTTTGCTAGACCATGCTATTCGTCAAATGTGATTCTATCTGCAGTCCTAGGTTTATATATGACAAATGACGCGTTGGTGAGAGGTGAAGAGAAAGCCACGGTCCCTACCGTCTAGGTAGGAAATAATACGAATTTTACGAACAGGGATTGGGAAGTGAAAATGTCATCAAATAACAATCAGGAAGAATCAAGGTTAAATGTAATCACCCACTAGTCTTCTCGACCATCTTATGATCTTTTCTATCTGAAACAACAAGGCAGATTGGTTCATTGGGTTACGTCTTTTGCTCTTATGTACAGCCCTCTCAATCTGCGTGCAGGGAAAGCTGCCTCCCTGGAATGAGAAAAGCGCCTCGAAGCGGCGAGCCTCTTTGTTGCTTTGATTGTATGCCATGTGCTGACGAGGAGATTAGTAATGAAACAGGTAATACTCACTTATACACACTTAATGTAAAGGGACATCTGCAGTTACCTGCTCAGGTTACAGGCTTGCAAAGACAAATTAGTCCGCTCCTATTTTCCAGGATAGGAGGGACTCTGCCTCCTCGCAGCTGGTTCAAATGACTGCTGCCAAACTCCTTCAGTCTCTCCACACCCAACCCAACTGGTCAAAGTACAACATATGGGATGCAGAAGGCTGCCGATCTGCACCTCCTCAAGTGTAAATAGGGTGGATAATAAATGATGGCACCCAGTGACGCCCACGTCCCAGGAATGAATAAAAAAAATACTCCTCACTCTTTAATTGAGACCCTTGTAAGTCATTAATGTTCGGATATTTTAAGCATGGAGAAAATTATGAACAAGCTTTGTCTTCCCGTTTAATTGTACAAACACAATCGCTTTATTGCTGCGGTATCTAGATTGAAACCACGAGCCTTGGCTGATTTTCCCTTCCTTAGCTCGAGCATACGAGATCCACTTTCACTCAGTAGAATCTAAACTGAGTTTAATATTCCCCTGCCCCATGAAGATCATTCCATATTGGACAGGATCTTTACCAAATGCCTCATTAGAGAAAAAAAAGTGCCAAATGCTTACTTTTTTTTCAAAGTTCAGAGTCTGGTATTAAATATCATAGAACACCAACAACCTACATCGGGTCCATTCCATCAATCTAACTTGAGTTGGTTCATTGAACAAGATCTATCATTAATCCAATAAAAAAAAAACAAAAGAACTGCGGATGCTGTAAATCAGAAACAAAAACAGAAGTTGCTGGAAAAGCTCGGCAGGATCTGTGAAGAGAAATCAGAGTTAACATTTCGGATCCGGTGACCCTTCCTCAGTACAGTTCTAAGGAAGGGTCACCCGACTCGAAATCTTAACTCTGATTCATCTTCATAGATGTTGTCAGACCTGCTGAACTTTTCCAGCAACTTTTGTTTTTGTTTCTATTATTAATCCAATCCCTCTGCTCTTCCCCCTTGGCTCTCCACTTTTTCCTTTGCAAGGATTTATCGAGACCAATTTCAAAGCTATTGCTGAGCTTACTGCCACTGCCTTTTTAGGCAACGCATTGGGGATTGTAAAAACTGGATGCATCCGGTCCCCGCCACATTTGCAAAGACTAAACGAGAAGACAAGGCACGTGGGATCTAACGATTGTATTGTCAAACCTGGGCTCTCATGGCTTCAAATTGGGTTAAAAAGATTGAATCGGAACTGAGAACATTCCCTGGTCAAATCCTCCAGTTGACCAACTTCAACATTCTCTTATTTAGAACTTTTTAAAATGACGACATGAAGTTTGTTCATGGAAGGCATGGAGATTTGGGAAAATGAAGCGTTCTATAGTTTTGACATCGTGCACGTCCGACCTGAAATGTTAGCTCAATTTATTTCTGCCACACCTACTGAATATTTCCAGCGTTTTCTTTTTGTATGTCTGACCCGTTTGCTCTTCCACCCGCAGATTCAGTAGAGTGCACAAAATGTTCTTCAGATGATTGGTCAAATGATGAGACAATCAAGTGCATTCCTAGAGAAGTCGAATATCTTTCCTTTGAAGATGCAACAGGCATTACATTGAGCGTAATTGCGTTGGTGGGAGCTTGTCTAACCGTCGCAGTTATAGCTATTTTCTTTCGACACAGAAATACTCCTATCGTAAAAGCAAACAATTCTGAGTTGAGTTTTCTTCTCTTGAGCTCCCTAGTTATGTGCTTCTTGTGCTCCATGACATTTATTGGCCGGCCATCTTCCTGGTGCTGTGTATTGAGGCACACGGCGTTTGCAATCATCTTCGTGCTCTGTGTCTCTTGTATACTCGCTAAAACTGTTGTGGTGCTGATGGCATTCAGAGCGACGCTTCGCAACAGCAATGTGATGAAATGGTTTGGTGCCACTCAACAGCGGACTGTCATCTTTCTCTGTACTAGTGTCCAGGTTGGAATCTGTGTCATGTGGCTAGTCAGGTTTCTGCTATTCCCCATTAAAAATACCACTTATCAAAATGCTAAAATCATCTTAGAATGTAATGTTGGCTCAGTGCCAGCTTTCTACAGTGTATTAGCTTACATTAGCATCTTGTCTTGTATCTGTTTTGTGTTGGCCTTTCTAGCGAGGAAATTGCCCGACAAGTACAACGAGGCCAAATTTATAACCTTCAGCATGTTGATTTTTTTCGCAGTATGGATAACCTTTATACCTGTTTACGTCAGCTCACCAGGCAAATACACAGTCGCAGTGGAGATCTTTGCAATTTTGTCTTCAAGCTTTGGGCTGCTTCTGTGTATTTTTACCCCGAAATGTTTCATAATTCTGCTGAGGCCAGAGAAGAATACTAAAAGAATGCTTATGAATACATGTTAAAATTGGCAAGATTAAATGATGAAGTCGAACTCGACTGGCAAGAAACGAACACGTAATCAGATTGACTGCTCCTTTTCCAGGCGTTTGATTTTACTCGAATTTAGGCGGAGCGCAGAAGCAGCGGGCAAGCTGATTAGATTGGTCTGCTACAGCAAATTAAAATAACATTGTTATATTACACGGCACTACCGTCGCTGGATTACCAAGAAGCAAAGTCCTGATGATACACTACAACGGTTCAAGGAGCTCGCCACTTTCTTAGAAGCAATCAGAGATGGGCAAGAAATACATCCTTGCTTGAAACATCAAAAAATAACAAAAAAGGTTATAATTGACAGGAAACCTAAGTGGACCCGCTTACAAAAAGTGTGGCTACCCGAACAGATCTGAGGCTGGTAATGCTATAATTCGCCTCCTGACTTCCCAAGTTCTGTTCAACACTTACAAGGTTAGCAGTGTGATGCTATGCTCTCCACTTGCCTATAAGTGCCACTCCAATAACTCTCAGGAAATTTGTTACTTCTCAGGATTAAATAGACTATTTGTCCCAGCCTGTCTCCCAGTAACAAAACATTCACTTCCCACACCATTAGTCCGGCATGGTAGCAAGGTGTATCATGTACAACAATCTTTCCATAGCACTTTCGAAACCACAAATCCTGTGCTATGTCCAAGGAGCAGATAAGTGAGAAGGGCACCATCTGGAAATTTCCCTCCAAGTCACTCACCTTCTCGATTGGGAGATATAGCAAAGTCGCTGTGTCAAAAATCTGGAAGCCCCTTCCTTAGAGCATTGTGGGTGTGCCGATACAAAGTGGATTGCAGCAGTTCCAGAATGGAGCTCACTGACGCTTTCTCAAGAATAATTAGGGATGAGTAATGAGTGCTAATTTAGCCAGCGATGCCCACATCCCGTAAATGAATTAAACATAAAGTTGTGTAAGAAATTAAATCAGCGGTGGGATCTTACCTCGCTAAAATGCTTACAGGAAAGTGAGCAGTGAGTGGTTTGCTATCAGCTGCATTTTGAGACCTATAGATGTAAAACTGCGTGCTTGGTTAGCCCTAGAAACAATCTCTTGTTGCCAGCATAATATAAAATGGGCGATGCTGAGTCAACAGCCTACTTTCTACTTTTCACGATTTTGTAATATGGAGGGAACACAGAATAAACTTCGGACAAGCTGTCAACCCTTTCACCCAATTTCACAGAGCCCCATGTCTGTGTGTGAGACTCCACTAATAACGACGAGCCTCGACAATTTCACTCTCTCCTGTTCGATATTTACAGTGAAACCGTTCATTAGGATTCTAGTGGAATTTTTTTTTTTTAAAAAACTTCATTCGTGGGATGTGGGGGACGCTGTCAATTGTTGCCTATCATCAATTACTCTGGAAGGGGTGTGGCGAGTCAGCTGCTTGAACAGCTGCAATCCACTAAGGGAATGAGACAGGGTATTTAGACTCAATACTGCACGGTAGCATTTTCAAACTTTAACGCTTTGGTACTGCTAAGTGATTCGCCAGGCCATCCAGAGGAAATCACATGTAGGCCAGGTCAGGTATTGTCGTCTGATTTTCTTCGTTATTGGACGTTAGACAACCAGACGGATTCTTTTATGACATCGTTGTCTGTTTTGTCTTCTGCTGTGAGACCCTATCACTCTGCAAAGCCTTTTGCCTCCGCGCCTCAAATTTCCTCTTTAAAATCTACGTTTCTAACCAGGTGTTCAATCGTGTGTCTCAATATATTTTGAGTTAACTCTGTCATATTTGTTTGAGGGGCCACGCTGTTGCTGTATACACCTGTAAGATATGCAGGTTTATTGTAATTTCAGCACTCAGGACCAATTATTATTTATTTACTTCTAAAGACGATCTCTGCGAAACATATAACACTTTAACAGGGTTCCCATGGGTAGATATAGGAAATAGACTTCCGTGGATTGTGTGAGTCTTGATCCAGAGGCCACAGTCTCAGAAAAAGGGGAAGTTCACTTTAGACGAATTTCTTGATTCAGACTGTAGTTGATCTTTGGAATTCTTGAACATAAGAATATAAGAAATAAAAGCAGGAATAGGGCATTTGGCCCCTCGAGTCTGCTCCGCCATTCAATAAAATCTGGCTGATCTTTTTGTAGACTCAGTTCCGCTTACCTGCCCTCTCAGCATAACCCTTAATTCCTTTACTGTTCAAAATTCCATCTATATTTGCCTTAAAACATTCCACGAGGTAGCCTCGACAGTTTCATTGGGCAGGGAATTCCACTGATTCAGAACCCTTTGGGTGAAGCAGTTCCCTCTCGGCTCAATCTGAAATCTGGTTCCCCTCATTTTCAGGCTATGGTCCCTACTTCTAGTCTCATCTGTCAGTGCAAACAACCTCACTGCTTCTATCTTATTTATTTCGTTTGTAATTTTATATGGTTCTATAAAACCCCCCTCATTCTCTGAATTCCAATGAGTATCGTCCCAGTCTACTTAATGTCTCCTCATAAATGCACTCTCTGAATTCCGGAATCAATCTAGTGAAGCTCCTCTGCACCCCCCCAGTGCCATACCAGTACCCTATAAAGCTGCAGCATAACCTCCATGTTTTTACACTTCATCCCACTGGCATTGAAGGACATTATTCCATTTGCCTTTTAAAGTACTAATTGCATCTGCAAATCAACATTTTGTGATTCATGCACAAGAACAACCAGGACCATCTGCACAGCAGCATGTTGAAATTTTTGACCATTTAAATAATAATCCATTTTGTTGTCATTCCTGTCAAAATGAATGACTTCACATTTACCTACATTGTACTCCGTCTCCCAGACCCTTGCCCACTCACTTAACCTATCTATCCCTCTGCAGACTTTCAGTGTCCTCAGTACACTTTGCTCTACCACTCATCTTAGTGTTATCTATGAACTTTGACATACTCCCCAAATCCAAATCATCTATGTTTAATCCAGACAGCTGTGGACGCCCAGTCATTGAGTTTGCTTAAAACAGAGATCACTCATTTGTCGAAATTACAGATGCCAAGTGATGTGGAGACAATGCAGAAAAGTGATATTCAGGTAGGTGATCAACTCGTCCATGCTAACCATGTGTTCTAAACTAATCTAGTTCAATTTGCCTGAATTTCACCCATGTCTCTCTAAACCTTTCCTGTCCACTTATCTGTCCAAATGTCTCTTAATTTTTTAAATTACACTCACCTCTACCATTCCTCTGGCAGCATGTTCCATATACACTCCACCATCTGTGCGAAAAGGTTCTCCCTCAGGTCTTTTTAAATCTTTCCACTGTCTTCTTATACCTATGCCCCCCAGTTTTGGACTCGCCTACACTGCGGAAAAGACCTTGGTTGTTAATCTTACCTCTGGCCCTTATGATTTTACAAACCTTTAGAAAGTGACCCCTCTGTCTCCTACGCTCCAGGAAAAAAAAGTTTCCAGCCTATCCAACCTCTCCTTATAACTCAAACTCGCAGCCTTGGTAGTACCCTTGTAAGTCTTTTCTGCACTGTTTCCAGTTTAATAACATCCTTTCTATAGCAGGGCAACAAGAATTGTACGCAGTATTCTAATTGTGGCCTTACCAATGTTTTGTGCAGCCGTAACATGATGTATCAACTGCTGTACTCAATTGCTCTGACTGATGATGACAAGTCTGTCAAATGTCTTCTTCACCACTCTGTCTATCTGTGATGCCACTTTCAAGGAACTATATACCTGTGCCCAAAGGTCTCTCTACATAGAACATAGAACAGTACAGCACAGTACAGGCCCCTCGGCCAACCATGTTGTGCCGAACTTTTACCCTAAACTCAAGGTCTATCTAACCTCCACCCCTACCTTATGTGGGGGTGAGGGTGTACCTCTGTTCAACAACAGTCGCTGAACTCTATCATAAACTGCGTAAGTCCTGCTCTGGTTTGTCTTATCAAAATGCAACAGCTCACGTTTATCTGAACTGAACTCCATCTTCTATTCCTGGGCTGATTGGCCCAGTTGATCAAGATTTTGCTGTACCCTTAGATAACTTCTTCACTATCCACGATATCACCAAATTTGGTGTCATCCACAAACTTACTAACCAAGCCTCCATTGTTCACATCCAAATAATTTATATCAATGATTAACAGCAGTGAACCCAGCACCAATCCTTGGAACACACCCACTGTTCACAGACGTCCAGTCTGAACAACGACCCTCTATCACCACCCTGTGATGCCTACTGTCAAGCAAATTTTGCATCCAAATGGCTAGCTCTTCTTGGATCTCTTGTGACCTAACCTTACTAACCAGTTCACCATTCAGAACCTTGTTGAGGGCCTTACTAAAGACCATGTTGACAATGTCTACCACTCTGCCTTTAACTATCTTCTTGGTCACTTCTTCAAAAACCTCATTCAAGTTTGTGAGACACAATTTCCCACAAACAAAGCCATATTGCCTATACCTAATCAGTCCATGCCTTTCCAAATGCATGTACATCCAGTCTCTCAGAATCCCCTCCAACAGCTTACCCAGCACTGACCTCAGGCTCACCGTTCTGTAGTTCCCTGGCTTTTCTTTGCAGACATTCTTAAATAATGGCACAACATTAGCTACCCTCCTGGCTTCTGGCATCGCACCTGTGGCTGTCAGTTATACAAATATCTCTGCTAGGAGCCCTGCAGTTTCTTCTCTAGCTTCCCACAATATCCTGGGATACACTTCATCAGGCTCCAGAAATGTATCTACCTTTATGGGTTTTAAGACCTCCAACTCCTCCTCTTCTGCAATGTGGACTCTTTTCAAAATATTACTATTTATTTCCCTGAGTTCTCTAGCTTCCATGTTTTTTCTTCAAAGTGAGTACTGACTCAAAATATTCATTTAGGATCACACTCATCTGCTATGATTCCACACATAGATGGCCTCGTTGATCTTTAAGGGGCCCTATGCTCTCCCTAGTTAGTTTTTTGCCCTCAATATACTTCTAGAATCTCTTTTGATTCTCCTTAACCTCATGTGCCAAACCAACCTCCTGTCCCCGTTTTGCACCCCCCCCCCCGATTCCCTGTTAAGCACACTCCTACACCTCTACACTTCTCAAGGCATTCACTTGCTCCCAGATGTCTATACCTGATATTTGTTTTTTTTTTGACCAGAGTTTCAATATCTCCAGTCATTCAGTGTTCCCTACTCCTGACAGCTTTTCCCTTCACGCTCACAGGATCATACTGTTCCTGAACTCTCGCTTTTGCAAGCCTCCCACATGTCAAACGCCCCTTTAGCTGCGAGCAGTCTCCCCCAATCAACCTTTGAATGCTCCTGTCTAATCAAAATTGGCCTTGTCCCAGTTTAGAACTTTAACTTAGGGACCGAGCCTATCATTTTCCATAAGTATTTTAAAACTTATAGAATTATGAACACTGCTCCCCTGTTAACACCTCAGTCACTTGCCTTGCCTTATTTCCAAAATGTAGAAGGAATGGAACCTTCTTTTCCGGTCCTATTTTGCATGATCTAAAGTGAGTTGTCAGTGATGTAGTTAAAATTATGTCTCGTTGTTAATATGGTAGAGAGTTTGCGAATAAATTGGTTTAGCCTGAGGGAACGGCTAGGGCGAGGAATGGAGTTGATTGCAAAAGAATTGAGTTTATGATTTGAGACACCTTGTGAAAATGTTGCCGTAGAGATTCTTCCATTCAACCACATATCCACGTGTCAAGAAGATTTTCTACTTTAGCTGCAATGTCACTAATTCCTTCGCTAAATTCTGTGTCTTTCTGTCTAACTTTCATACCTTGATATACTTCTTAGAACCTACCTCTGTGCGGGTCGTTGGTCATCTACCTCATGCCGCCTTAAGGAGGTGAGTTATCTCAATGGCTAACTGGTTCCTTTGTAATGGAGCATTGCACCTACAGTGCTACTTCAATTCCTGCACAATACATGAACTGTTTCTCAGTTTCCTGCCTTCTAAGAATATGAAGGCTCTCTTTTTCCCTTTTCTATTTATTATACTTTGTTGCCTTGCCTGGACCTGATTTGTAGATTCAAAAATTAAGGTCTCCATGCTCATCATAACTTTTGAAAATCATGATAATTATCCTATTTATAGCAAAAGCCTTTCCGTTTTAGTCCTCACAAGAAGCGTCACTTCACACTTCTCATTTTTTAATTCCACGGTTCATGCCTCCGTGATGTTCGTTTCACATTTCTGAAGCCCCTCATCTCGTCTCGTAAATCTCGTTGCAAACTCTTGAACTTTTGACTCATTTCAAAATTGTGTTACCCAGAAATCGGACACATTATTCCACCTGAGGGTTGTCGAGTACGCAATAAAAATGGATCATAATGTCATCGATTTTGTAGACCATTCCTTTGTTAATGGTTTTTTGACAACGTTTACGGTTTGTTTTGTCACCTTCAACTTGTTTGCATTAACTCTCAGATCTCTGGTTCTGATATCACTTTGAAATTTTATCGAGTATTTACTGTTCCGTTTAATAATTTTATCCTACTCAAATGTATATTTTCACACCCCTATGCATTCCATTTAATTTGCTATGTTTCTGATCATTTCAACATTATCAGCTCTTAGGCTGTTTTCTTGTTAATTGTTAATTGCATTTTCAAGTTTAATATCATCTGTCAATATTAATGCAAATTCAGATTGATTCACAGCGTTGTCATTAAAATATTTTTTAAAAACGTATAGAATCAAAACCTGTTATGGAGAAAGTGATGGAATACTTGGAAAATATTCAATTACTTGGAGAGAGCTAACATGGATTTGTGAAACGTGGGGTTTGCCTCACTGAGTGAATTTTCATCTGAGTGAATTTTCTGAAGCTGTGAATGAAGCAGTAGATAATGGAACGTCTCCGGATGTTACGTATAAGGATTTTCAGAATGCATTTAATAGATTTCTTTATAAGTGTTATGCCTCACTGATGAAGCATGCCAAAATGAAATCTCACTATACTCGGAGCCATCACAAAAGTTAAAGTTTTTGCAAAGGAATCAGAATACCTGACTTTCAGACTCACAATGACAGAAAGCATAGACCAGGTTTTTGTATTTGACAAGAATGAATATTGGGTACAAATAAACAGATAATAAGTACAGTCAAATAATACTGTAGAAAAGTCCAATCTTCTTATAAACTACCACTCTACACAAAGGAACAAACAGACCAAAACAGTAAAAAAAGAGTCGTGATCAGATGGAAAGACTGGGACAGCAGCTAACTGGCTCCTGTTCACACGGTTTGCTGAGATGGTCCTTTAGAATTGTTGCTTCATGATCGTTTGTCCTCAGCTACTTTCACTTCTTTGTGGGAGAAAGGGGGTGGCAGGTTCACACTTACAATGTCTCCGGCTTATGCATTAAGAACCATAGCTTACAGGAATAGTTGAAGGGGGGAGAAAACTGGCATTCCTCAGGCTTAATGTGTTTTATTGTTACAGAGAGAAAACTGAACTCTTGACACTGCAGAGGTCTGATGGCTTCTTTCAAAATGTCAGACACATAGAACTGATATGTAGGCAGATTTTGGCAAGATATAAAAGAAACAGGGTTGTTGTCGTGGGTGATTTTAACTTTCCATATGTTAACTGGGACTCACTTAGTGCTTGGGGTTTGGATGGAACAGAATTTGTAAAGAGTATCCAGGAGGACTTCTTGAAACGGTATATAGGTAGTCCAACTAGGAAAGGGGCTGTACTGGATCTAGTACAGGTGGTCGATATCTTAGTAGGGGAGCAGCTCGGGAACAGTGATCATAATTCAATAAGCTTTAAGGTACTGATGGATAAAGACAGGTATAGTTGTCAGGTGAAGGTGCTAAATTGGGGGAAGGCTAATTACAACAATATTAGGCAGGAACTGATGACTGTAGATTGGAGGCAGATGTTTGAGGGCAAATCAACATATGGTATGTGGGAAGCTTTCAAGTGTAAGTGGCTGGGAACTCAGGACAGCACGTTCCTGTAAGGATGAAGGATAAGTACGGCAAGTTGAAGGGACCTTGGATAATGAGAGATATTGTGAATCTAATCAAAAAGAAAAAAAAAGAAGAATTTATCAAGGCTAGGAGGCTGGCAACACATGAAACAAGGGTGGAATATAAGGAAAGTTGAAACAAACTTAAGCAAGGAGTCAGGAGGGCTAAAAGGCGTCATGAAAAGTAATTGGCCAACAGGATAAAGGAAAATCCAAAGGCTTTTTATACATATATAAACAGCAAGAGTGTCGCCAGGCAGAGGGTTGGCCCACTCAAGAACAGGAGAGGGAATTTACGTGTGAAGTCAAAGGAAATGGGTGAGGTATTAAATGAGTACTGTGTGTTAGCATTCATCATAGAGAAGGACTTGGTGGATGATGAGTCTGGGGAAGGATGTGTAGATATTTTGGTCATGTTGAGATGAAAAAGGAGGTATTGGGGGTCTTGAAAAACATTAAGGTAGACAGGTCCCCAGGGCCTGATAGGATATACCCCAGAATACTGAGATAGGCAAGGGAGGAAATTGTTGGGGCCTTGCGGGAAATCTTTGTATCCTCACTACAGGGGAGGTCCCAGAGGATTGGAGAATAGCCAATGTTGTTCCTTTGTTTAAGAAAGGTGGCAAGGATAATCCAGCTAATTTCAGGCCAGTGAGCCTTACGTCAGTGATAAGGAAATTATTGGAGAGGATTCTTCGAGACAGGATTTACTCACACTTGGAAATCAGTGGGCATATTAGTGAGAGGCAACATGGTTTTGTGAAGGGGAGGTCATGTCTCACAAACTTGGTTGAGTTTTTTGAGGAGGTGACGAAGATGATCGATAAGGGTAGGACAGTGGATGTTGTCTACATGAACTTCAGTAAGGCTCTTGACAAGGTCACTCATGGCAGGTTGATATGGAAGGTAAAGTCGCATGTGGTCAGAGGTGATCTTGTAAAATGGATAAAAATAACTGGCTCAGTCATAGAAGACAGATGGTAGCAGTGGAAGGGTACGTTTTTGAATGGAGGGCTGTGACTAGTGGCCTTCATCAGGGATCAGTGTTGGGACCTTTGCTGTTTGTAATATATATAAATGATTTGGAGGAAAATATAACTAGTCTGATTAGTAAGTTTGCCAATGACACAAAGGTTGGTGGAATTGCGGATAAAGATGAGGACTGTCAAAGGATTCAGCTGGATATAGATCGGTTGGTGACTCGGGGAGAGAGATGGCAGATGTAGTTTATCCAGAAAAATGCAAGGTAATGCATTTTGGAAGGTCTAATCCAGATGGAAAATATACAGTAAATGGCAGAACCCTTAAGAGTGCAGACAGGCAGAGGGATCTAGGTGTACAGATACACAGGTCACTGAAAGTGACAACGCAGGTGGAGGAGGTTGTCAACAAGACATATGGCATGCTTGCCTTCAACAGCCGGGGCATTGAGTTTAAAAATTAGCAGGTAATGTTACAACTTTATAGAACCTTAAGTTAGGCCACATTTGGAATATTGTGTTCAATTCTGGTCACCACACTACCAGAAGGATGTGGTGGCTTTGGAGAGGGCACAGAAAAGATTTACCAGGATGTTGTCTGGTATGGAGGGCATTAGCTATGAGGAGAGGTTGGATAAACTTGGGTTGTTCTCACTGGTACGACAAAGGTTGAGAGGCGACCTGATAGAAGTCTTCAAGATTATGAAAGGCATGGACAGAGTGGACAGTCAGAAGCTTTTTCCCAGGGTAGAAGAGTCACTTACCAGGGGCCATAGGTTTAAGGTGTGAAGGGCAAAGTTTAGAGGTGATGTACGAGGCAAGTTTTTTTACACAGAGGGTGGTGGTTGCCTGGAACTCGCTGCTGGGGGAGGTAGTGGAAGCAGATACTATAGTGACTTTTAAAGGACTTCTCGACAAATACATGAATAGGATGGGAATAGAGGGATACAGTCCCTGGAAGGGTAGGGGGTTTTAGCTGTGACGGGCAGCATGTTGGTGCAGGCTTGGAGGGCTGAAGGGTCTGTTCTTGTGCTGTAATTTTCTTTGTTCTTTGTTCTATAACATATTCAGCCACCTGGAAGCCAGACAAACAGTTGTTGACAGAGGAAAAAAATACATTTGCCATCGATAACTGGTCGCTAGTCCAGGGATCAGTCAGCTACTACCTGCTAGCTACATCTCAATCAGTTCACGCAAACTCGATTCCAGTTCATCTATATTTATTTCCACTCCTGCATGAACAAACAGCCATTACAATGAGTGTCAGTCTACTTGCTTTTAACAAGTGCAGTGATTTTCGAACAATCTTCGGTTTTTAAAGCAGCTGTTTTCCCATTTCAGTTCATGATCAAAAACAGAAAATAAAAATATATGGACTTTACACAAGAAAGCAATTGGTAAAGCTGGATCTCATGGAATTGGAGGGAACATGTTAACTTGGTTTATAAATGAGTGGAGTGACAGGGTAGAAGGATTGTGGATATTCTAATTGGTAGGATGTCGCAAGTGCTGTTCAAAACTAATTACTGTATTCTTTCATCAAATAGAGGAGCAGACTCAACACAACACTGCATGAGTTCCTCAGGGTAGTGTCCTGGATTGTCATTGTCAGTTGATTATTGAATAATAATCCTTCTATAATGAGGGAAGAAGTGTGGACGTTGTTAATTACTGAAATAATTAGTACTATTCAGAATCCGAACAAATTTGTGACCATAACAGCAAGACCTGGACAACATTTAGGCTCGGGCTGATAAGTGGCAAATAACATTAGTGCAACGCAGAAACCAGGCAATGAATTCTACAAGACAGAACCTCAATATCTCTCCTTAGCATTCAGTGGTAAATTCCTCACTAAACGCATTCGTGACAGTTGTTACTGAAAACAATTTGAACTTGAACCAGCGTTATAAAAACTATGGCGAGAATAACAGGCCAGATCTGGGAATAATACAATACTTAGTTCACATTCTGAAGTCCAAAAGTCTGTCCACCAACTAAAAGGCAGAAATCAGGAATGTGATAGACTTCTGACTTCTTGCCTGGATTCGTGGAGGATCCAACAACACTCGAGCAGTTCCTTTCAGTCCCGGATAAATTAGCCCATTTGATCCACACTCTATCCACAGCCTGAAATATTCACTCCCTCCACCACCAATGCACAATGGCAGCCATGTGCACCAGTTACAAGATACACTGTAATATATCACTAAGTGTCCTCCACAGCACATTTCAAACACTTGACCTCTACCATCTAGAAGGTCAAGAACAGTAAATGCACGGGACACAACCATCTGCAAATTCCCTTGCAAGTTACATACCAGCCCGACTTTGGAATTATATTCCTTTAAAGTTGGCTTAAAATCCTTAAACTCCCTTTCTAATAGCTCTGTTGGTCTGCCTTTATTAGTGGTTCAAGGTGGTAAGTCATCACTTTCTCAAAAGCAATTAGACATGTAAACAAATTTTGGCCTAGCTAGTGATGCCCACACCCAATGAAAGAATAAAAATACGAATCGAATGCAATGTTACTTGCTATTAAGATATACCGGGTTTATCTTCGTGTAGTGACTCTTAAACAATTGATATCGTTGGGGACGCAGGGTTGAAAAAATCTATCATGCTCTCTGTTTTCCTTCATTTGAGCGGCTTGGTATCCAATTTCACTTGGCATCCAAGGAGGCAACAATGCCCTTCTCAGAGAGTGTGCTTTGATTGACAGAATTTATAAGCTGCATAATTTATTAGAATTTCGGAGTTGCTGAGAAATTTGTTGTGGTCGCTATAAGTCGAAATATCCAGAATGTGTTCACAATGAAATCGTTCCCCATTCCTCTGTAAAAAAACAAATGAATTCAAGAAATTCTAATAACAATAGGTACAACTGCGAACACTCATCACGTTTGGCAGCTTCTGCAGAGCGAAAAATGGAGCTAACCTTTCAGATCGATGACCTTTCACCTGCGTTTTATAATCAGCAAGTAACGTCAAGCGGTATTAGTAAGTTCTTCCTCAGTGCGGTTCAATGATAAGAATACTGCTACTAAAGCTAGAACGTGAGGCAAATCGTCTGCGAACACAGCAAATAATACGGAAAAACTCATTTTGGACAGTGCTACCGATCTAGTTTTGCCTCTTTACGAATCAATGTCGCATTAAATGTGAGGTTCCTTTGTCCGTGAATAGACCTGAATTAATTTACCAATTGACAAGAACAATAGGCTCCTTCTCCTAATCTCAGCATTCATTTCTCATTGCATAACATATCTTCCAAATATGGTCACAGTTTTGCAATGTCTACATTTAATCTAATTAAAGTGTTAGGGGCACAGCAGCCCCGAGCATTTGATAAAACACGAGACTGGAATAAGTATAAACGAGATTTGAGTTTAGAATCTCCTGGGAGTAGGTTGCGACGGTTAAATATCGCGGTGCAATAGGCCGCTTGCACCAAAGCGATGAAAGGTAGAATCAACCCTTTATTTCCCGTGACTTCTGAGAAAACCTTCAGGATTCTCTAATGTCTCTGTCTTGCGTTTGGAGCGTTTTCATACTGGCTCCAATCCTTATGGTAGTCTCCGCCGTCGATACATGCAAACGGCAAGAAAAATTCAACCATGGAATGTTTCAGGACGGGGACGTCATCCTGGGCGGTTTGTTCCCAATATATTTAAGAGTCGCGCCGGATTATAGATCATTCCAATCTCACCCTCAACCAGTGCGCTGTGTGGAGTGAGTGATAATATGCTTTGAAAATGCTTCAGTTTTGGATGGAATTGATTTTAAACATAATTTGTTGTTTCTATGATAAATCCTTCATTATTTTTGACTGCTTGTTGTCCGTTCGTGTGTTATGTTCTGCGCTTTCACAAAATGTTTTACGGATCAGTAAACGTTAGCATGCGGGAGCAGCAAGCAATTTCGTAGAGAAACGGAAAATATAACTGGAGGGTGTATTTATTGCATTTGACAGAATTTGCTGAAACTGTATTTGGAGCAGTGTGTATTGTTTGATCTCTTTAATAAAAAAAAAACGATTTAGAAGCAGTGTAAAGGGGATACACTCAACTCATTCAGGTAGAACCCAAGTCCATTGGAGTTTAGAAGAATGAGAGCTGATCCTATTGAATTAAAGGGGATTCTAAGAGGCCTTGACAGGTAGGTATTGAGAGGAGGTGGGGTAGGTAGATGTTCAGGGGAGGCAGTAAAACTTGCAAATGTAAATTTGAGAATAGAAATCTCTCTTTTCGATGGAGGTAAGCAGAAAACCATCTCTCTGACGTTGGTTAGTCTGTGGAATTCTGCCACAGAAGGTATTGGAGGCTGTTTCTTTAATACTCAGGACACACTTTTAAAAATAGAAAATGGATTTAAGGTCTGTTGCAGTGAGAATGCGGTATGGGGTGGTGGTGGGTGGGAGGGGTGGAGCGTTTGGTTATGACATTCAGGAATTTGGAGTTGAGGTCACAATCTGCTCATCCACGAATTTACCAAAACGATGGAGACCTATCAAAAGGTTGAATGACCTCCGCCTGTTCGCTGTTTCCTATGTCCTATGTCGTTTTATGGTTCTTTGCTTCTCTTTCCCACCTTCTTTCCATTCATTTCGTTACTGAACCCTTATATGGTTGACTAACGCAGTGAGACTGTAAGACCAGGAAACATAGGAGCAGAATTAGGCCATTTGACCCATCACCTCTGCTCCGCCATTCGAACACGAGTGATGGGTTTTTCAACACAATTCTCTTGCTTTTTCCCTGTAATCCTTGATCCCCTTGCCGCTGAAGAACCTATCGATCTCTGTCTTAAATACACTCAATAACGACTTCCACAGCCCTCTGTAGCAACGAGTTCCACAGAGTCATCACCCTCTAGCTGAAAATATTCCTCCTAATCTCTGTTCTAAAGTATCCTCCCCTCACTCTGAGGCTGTGTCCTGGGTTCCTCGTCTCTCCGACTAGTGGAAACATTTCCACTCCCCACCTCCCACACCACCAGGGCTCTCAGTATTCTCTTAACTTCAATCAGATCCCCTAATTCTTTCTACATTCCATCGAGGACAGACCCAGAGATCAGAACCATTCCTCATATGCCAAGCACTTCATCCGTGGAATCGTTCTTGTAAAACTACTCTGGATCCCCTCCAACGCCAGCACATCCGTCCTTAGATATGGGACCTAAAACTGCTCATAATATTCCTAAAGCGGTCTGACGAGCGCCTTATACAGTCTCTGCAGTGCATTTCTGCCCCTGTATTCTAACTCTCCTGGACGCATTTTCTTTCGTTCTCCCAATTCTGGAAGCGAAAGTCACAATTCTCAGTGTCGTGAGATTGCTTCTTCCTTTTGTTCTAAATTTCTTATTATTAATATGGATCCACGAGCTGTCTTTCGAGATCCCGGAATTTCGGGAAACAGCATGCTGCTATGTACCGGGTCTTATTCGCTCCAATGAAAAATACACGGTCATATTGCTCTTTGATCTCTGTAAAAGTTGTTTTTGACAAGATATTCAGAATTCTGCAATAAGTAATAATATAGAAGGAATTTTACAGCGTGGAATGAAAGTAAATTCTGATGTATGGCAGGTTTAGTCAAAGTGGTCTTCGTTGGACCCTCACCATGGTATTCGCCATAGAAGAGATAAATAGGAATACGGAGTTACTACCTCACACGACTCTGGGTTACGAAATTTTCGACAGCTGTGACGCATCTTCTGAAGGTCTGAAAGGAGCTTTCAATTTACTGAAGGGAAAAGGCAATAGCGCTCCCAACTCCACGTGCGCTGGAGTCCCATTAGTACCTGTGATTGTGGGAGATGGTGCGTCATCGCAATCTATCGCAGTGTCTCGACTAGTTGCTCCTTTCGCCATTGGTCTGGTAAGATTTATCAATTAATTTGCGATAAATATTGACAGGAGCTAGGCAAAAGCTCACCCGCGATATTGCCGCGTAGTGTCCAGGGATGTGGAGGCTGGGTGGAATAGCCATGGTCAGTGCTGGTTTACAGGGATAGGGTAGGATGCTCTTCGGAGGGTAAGTGTAGACTGGATGGGCTGAATGACCTCTGTCTGCACTGTAGGGATTCTATGAATCTATGATTACATTTATAAAATTAAAATGCTGCAGATGCTGGAGGTCTGAAATAAAAACAAAATGCCGGAAATATTGTCTCTGTAGAGAAAAGGTAGGACGGAATATGGTTCCTTGGTCTGAAAAGGTAACTCGGTCCGCCTGTCTCCACAGACGCTGTCTGAACTGCAGAATATTTCCGCCATTGTCTGTAGTTATGTACAAATACTGTTTTAGTCGCAGTAGAGCTGGATAAGCAGGCAAACAGACTTACGGTCAGGAGGATCCAGACAGGAAATAAAGAGAAATATCGAGATTGTTGTTGACTAGAACCATCTTCCCAGAAGGTGAGTGGAAACAAATTGAGAAGTGTTTTTCAATTGAATACACAGTTGAAACAGAAACATTTACAGACCTATGGCGAAAATTGTGAGTCTATGTAGATCGCTGTTTTAAAGAACGAATAGACCTTAAGTGACTAAAATAAAACAAAAAGAACCAATGGAACAAAAACAGAAAATGCTAGATAAGCTCAGCAGGTCTCGCAGCATCTGTGGAGAGAAAGCAAAGTTAAACTTCTCGGGTCCGCCAACCCTTCCACAGAATTGTGGATGCTGGAAATCTGAAACAAAACAGACCTAGTTCTGAAGAAGCGGTTACTGAATCGAAATGTTAACTCTGCTTTTGTCTCTGCCAGACCTGTTCAACTTCTTCGGCAATTTCTGTTTTTCCTTAAGATCTTCTCCGACTCCTGTGTTGGGTTCAGCGATGGTGCCACAATTTCAAATATCTCAGTTAGTTCTGTTTCCCCGCAGGTCAGCTACTTTGCGTCATGCGCTTGCCTCAGTAATAAGAGTGAGTTCCCAACATTCTTGAGGACAATTCCTAGCGATACTGTTCAAATGAAAGCTTTAGTTCGACTCATACACCACTTTGATTGGACCTGGATCGGAGCCGTGGCTGAAGACAACGATTATGGTCGCTTCGGGATGAGGTCTCTCATTGAAGAGGCTGCGAAGTTTGAAATCTGTATCGCCTACATCGAATTCCTTTTACCCGGTCGCACAAGAGAAAGAATGCGTCAAGTTGCAAAGACCATTAGAACATCCTCTGCTAAGGTGTTGATAATATTCTGTGGAGAGAGTGACGCCATGTCGTTGGTAAATGAACTCAGAATGCAGAACATCACCGACATCCAGCTAATCGCGAGTGAAGCCTGGGTCACATCATTCCAACTATGGAGAGCAGAAACTGTGGATATTTTATCAGGAACAATCGGGTTTGGAATCAGGAGAGCGGAAATTGTGGGACTGAGAGAGTTTCTAGTCAAACTTCATCCTTCCACAGCACCAGACAATCCGTTTGTTGAAGAACTCTGGCGCCAAGTCTTTGGCTGTATCATAAATTCCTCAAATCAGAGCCTGAAAGAAAACATGTCAGGGTTTCCCTACAAACCGTGCACCGGTTCAGAAAACCTAGAGACGGTTGAATCTGCATACTCCGATGTGTCGCAGTTAAGAGTTTCCTACAATGTATACAAAGCGGTATACGCCATAGCACACGCCCTTCAGAATTTACAATCGTGTGAAAATGGGAAAGGCCCATTTATCAACAACACATGCGGTCAAAAGTCTAAAGTTCTATCCTGGCAGGTGAAGAACTGTCGCACGCTACTAGTCATCTGGTAAAGCGAAGTAATGTATTGCCTCTCCTGAAATAAAAGTATACATAGTGTTCCGTTCTATTTTCTTTTTTGATGGTAATTCGTTCATGCTCTTTCGTAATGCTCTTTATCTTATTTTTGTCGCTGTAATGTAAAGCACGTTTAAGATCGAAGATTATATTTGTCTTTCCCTTTTAAAAGCTTTTGCACTACCTGAGGGAGGTACGTTTCACCAGCCAGTTTGGGGAGGAAGTAAGCTTTGATAAAAATGGAGATCCTATTGCTTCCTATGACCTGATAAACTGGCAGAAGCGTCCTGATGGGTCGATTGACTTTGTTAATATTGGCTATTATGACGAAGCGTTGCCGAAAGGGGAGGAACTCGAGTTGGATGAAAGTGGAATTGTGTGGCACAGAACAGCTCTTCAAAATAAGGTAAGCTCATTTCCAACGTACCATGTCTCCGTGTCCGGTAAGAATCAACCCCACAATCACATTGATTTGGACGATTACTATTGTTGAGATTTTCGAGGATTCCTACCATCTGTTACCGGATTAATTCTGGTGTTCAGTCACTCCTTGTGTGAATAGCTTTGAATATGTAATATTCAAGATCTGCTATAGTACTTCGAATGTCGAACCAAAGCATATTACGTTTGCGTGCAGTGGAGCGGGTGGTAAATTCAAAACTAAGGTGATGGAACAATATACTTAAAAGTTTCCTTTAAATCTTTTGAAGAAAGGACAATTTTTTTTGAAAAAAAATTCACATTAGAGTTAATTTTTTGAAGAGTTAATTTGCTGCCTGACTTGACGAGTACAGTATATTTGGTAGGAACAGGTGACTTTGAACATATGATTCACGAAACCTCCCCAGCAGCGGATTTTTCACCATACGAAATGTCTCGTTCTGTTGAAAACTATGTTTGAAAGAACTCTGTTGAAGTAATTAATCAATTACATCGTATAGCTGTATCATACAACAACCGGCGAGGTAGGATGCTCTATTCATGCTATTCATTAATAACAACACATTCCAAACACAAGATCACCACCAACTATCAGGAAGAAGGCAGTAGTAGATATTTGGGAATGCCATCTCCTGCCAGATCGCCCTCCAAGCCACTCATCATCCTGACTTGGAAATACATCAGCTCTCCTTCAGTGTCGTGGGTCGAAATCCTGCAAATCTCTCCCTAAGTTCATTGTGATCAACCGACAGTAAATGGACTCCAGCCGTTGAAGAATGCAGCTCACCACCACCTTCTCAAGGGCAACTAGGGACGGGCAATAAATTATTGGTCCAGCCAGCAATGTTCTCATCCTATGTGTGAATTTAAAAAAAAAGTGGAGCAGTGTATTTTCTTTGTTGATTTTAACTATTTCAATATTCCAACTGTCTTTTCAAACTAAGACACTTCTATGTTTATTTGACTCCAATTTTACAATTGCACATTTTGGTTTTCATTAAGGTGCCATTATTTTGTTGCATATCCAAATAAGTATTATTATAATTATGTGCAGTCATGTCATTTCATTATGAATTAAAATGAGAATGGCAACACTATGCCTCTGGCCTCCAATGTCTAATCTTTGGTGAAGAACTTAAATTATTCTCTGTGGGAAACTTAGAAATTCAATTCAACTGTCCCCTGGTTTAAGGATATATTTGCTAGATATTGTAAACATCCAAACTGGGCAATTCATTTCCCTCAGGGAGGGAATCTCTTCACTTATTTATTGAGACAGATCTACAATTCTAGTCCCGCGCAGCTGGGTAAATTTCAATTATTTTCACAGTACCTAAAAATGTCTGTCTATTCATCCATATGATAAGAAACAATATCGAAGCGAGATCAAATTTAAAGATATAATGATTACTTATAGTTTTCCCATTTATATCCATCTAAAATTTGTTACTTGCTTCAACAGGAGGAAGGCCTGGTTGGAATATCACAATAGGGAGCAGTATGGATAATAAATCCGTACCTTTATATCAAAGTGTAAAGGGATGAAAGCAGTAAAAAAAAAGACTTACTTAGCCAACAATGAGAAACATACATTTCCATTCATACCAACACAGGAGAGGCAATGTCATAGTGAACATTGAAAATTAAACAATACTCCGTCATTGGTTAAGGCTGGATGGTTGTGCTTCAATGCATTTTTTAAAATTCCATAGTCCCAGTATCTGGTAACTGACTTTGAGTTTGTTAAAATATCGCTTCTGTCTTCATAGGTTCCTCTCTCAACGTGTAGTAAAAGCTGTCTTGCAGGTACCAGAAAAGCTGTACGTAAGGGTCAGCCTGTTTGCTGCTTTGATTGCTTGCCATGCGCCGATGGGGAGATCAGTAACGAAACAGGTAGGCAAGAATGTGAACAATCGTTAATATTTCAGCAGTGAGCATGTACCACGGCATATCTTGTATTTTTTACCATGATATTCAGCTTTAATCTATAAACATACGTTTGAGATTTTATAATATACTGTTATTTCGCAACAGGTTCAATAGAATGCATCAAATGCCCGTCAGATTACTGGTCCAACGAGCCAAGAAATCAGTGCATTCCGAAAGAAATTGAGTTCCTCTCCTTTCAAGACAGCATGGGAATAACGCTGACGGCGATTTCACTGCTTGGAGCTTGTATCACAGGGGCTGTTGCAGCTGTATTCTTATATTTCATAAACACTCCTATTGTAAAGGCCAACAATTCAGAATTGAGTTTCCTTCTACTAATCTCATTAATACTGTGCTTTCTGTGCTCCATTGCATTCATCGGACAGCCCTCACCATGGTCATGCATGGTGCAGCACACTGTGTTTGGAGTTAGTTTTGCTCTATCTCTTTCTTGTATTCTTGGTAAAACTTTGGTAGTCCTAATGGCATTTAAAGCAACTCTGCCGGGTAGTGATGTCATGAAATGGTTCGGACCCAAACAACAAAGGTCAATTGTTTTTATCTGCGCATTGATTCAAGTAATAATATGTGTGATCTGGTTGTTGACTTCTCCCCCACTCCCAGCTAAAAACACCAAATATCAAAATGAAAAGATTATCCTCGAGTGTGGCGTGGGTTCCACAGTAGCATACTGCAGTGTGTTTGGTTACATTGGCTTATTAGGTTGCATTTGTTTAATTTTAGCCTTATTGGCCCGGAAGCTACCGGACAGATTCAATGAAGCTAAACTCATAACGTTCAGCATGCTCATCTTTTTTGCAGTTTGGGTGACATTTATTCCAGCTTATGTGAGCAACCCCGGAAAATACACGGTGGCTGTTGAGGTATTTGCAATTTTAGCATCGAGTTTTGGATTATTGTCCTGTATCTTTTCTTCAAAGTGTTACATAATCTTGTTAAAACCGGAAGAGAACACCAAAAAACACGCAATAGCTAAAAATGTACAACCGTAACATAATAAACGAGTTTTGTAAATTCGGCAACGTCATGTGACAACATGTTGAAGTACTTGTGTAGTTTTATAGTTCATGCAAATAGCTTCGGCTTTTCTTGCATTCTGTTCTAATAAGATTGGTCAGTTTCAAGGTACATTGCGTAAAAAAGTTAAAATTTATAAAATATTCAACATTTTGTATAAGGTGGAAGAATTCATTGTATGGTTTTGACTGTTCATTTGCTGTCAAAACCTAGGTGTATATTTTTAATAATTGTCGCAAGTTAAAAAAGAGAAATTGGTTTCAATGTTAGACAACATCAGGCTCTACTTAAACCTGAAGAGTAGGAAGAAGTGACCGAAAAGTCGCCACATCCCATTCCCGACTTCCAATTGTCTAATTGTGGATTTGCTACACTTTCCCGTATCTGACACAAATGTTGGTCTTTCCTGCTGATTTTTCAGAATTTTGCTTTGATCTGAGTATTGCAGTTAAATGAGTTTTTCTGTCTCACCAACTACCGATGAAAGAGCGCGCTTCGCCTCCCGAGAAATATACCTTCAGATGCCCTGTTGTGCATTTTCAGCATTTTCATTTGTAACAATAAATGGTTTGCCAGAAACACTTGAAAATGTAGTGGTACCCGTGCAATGACATATGAAGCATGAAAACAATCAAATAAAATTGACGTTTTTTTTTTCATTTTATGTGCGGGACGCTTAATGACCAGAAAGAAAATATTTTGATTTTATCACCTTCACTGCGTTCCCTTTATAAACGATTATAGCTTTTCCTTGTCGATCGCACTCTATCGTGGAAACACAGAAAATAGAAACAGGGTAGGCCATTCAGCTTCTGGACCCTGCTTTGCCATTCATTTAGGTTCTGTCCAATCTTCTACCTCGAGGGCACACTACCCAAAGACTTCATTTTCTGGAACTGTATTAGTCTCTGTCTTGAATGTACTTGATGGCGAACGATCTATAGCTCTCTGTGGCACATATAGGTTCTATAGGTTCGCCATCCTCTAAACGAAAAAAAATCTGGTTTTTGTTCGAAATGGCCTATCCCTTATTCTGCAACTGTCCCATCCCCACCGACCCGCCTTCCCCACACCCCGGTACTATACTCCTATTCTGAAAGGAAATCCCTCCTGCACCTACCGTGACAAGAAACTCTAAAACGCGAAAATGTCTAGAGGTCACCTGTCAATGTTATAAACCCAACTGTAAAAGTATTGAGGCGTACTGAGTTGTCCGCCGGATCAGAGCCAGGACTGCAACTATTGACAATTTAGATAAATTGCTTCCATGAAGGGCTGGAAGGTATAGATGCCAAATTTGCCAATGATACACAGATTGTTAGCAAAGTAAATTGTGCAGAGAATAAAAGGAGTGTACAAAACTGTATAGATATGTTAAATGAGTACTCAAATGTCTAAGCCAGATCATACAAATTGTGCAAGTCAGGAGAAAGCTGCTTAGCAATGCACTGTTTTAAGGAACTAAGATACTGTTTCAAGTTCGAATCTCTATTATGTCATTGTCTAAAACACATTTCTGTTTTAATAAGAACAGAAAATGCTAGAAATACTCAGTAGGTCTGACAGCATAAGTGAAGAGAGACACCGAGTTAACATTTCAACATTGTGACCTACTGTGAAAATTTCAAGTTGACAATCATTTATTCAACCAAGACTTAGGGAGAGCATCTCTCCGATACAACTAGAGTTAGATTAAAAAAAAACATTGACAGGATAAGGGCGTTGCTGACCAGGCAGCATTTATTGCCAATCCCTAATTGCCCAGAGTCAATCACATTGCTGTGGGTCTGAAGTCACATGTATGCCAGACCAGGTAAGGATGGCAGTCTCTTTCCCTAAAAGGCATTAATGAACCCTACAGGGCTTGCCTGACAACTGCTTCATGCTCATCATTAGATTTTTACCTCCTGATATTTATTGAATTCGAACATCTGCTGTGGTGGGATTTGAGCCCAATCCCCAGAAATTTATCTGGGTCCCTGGCTTAATAGTCGAGCGATAACGCCACTCGGCCATTACCTTCCCAAGACCTGAGGTCTATAGGGTAATTTAGTATTCCTATACCATTTCGTCACATCACATCTTCATTATCCAAATTCTGATCTTGCTTCATACAAACCAAAAAATTCCATTCTAGTTTATAGATTAACGTCCTTAGTCTTCTTCATCCAGTCAATCTTATCCTAGCCAGGCATTTTTTTCACCTAGTATTTGTCAATGTCTATTGTCTCCCTCTCTCACCATCCATCCTAGCTTCAAAGCCTCTCTGGAATGTTTCGTTTACACAACTTGTGTTTCGACAAGGTTTGCCTGCATACTCCTACTGAATATTAATGTCTAGGTGCACAAGTTTCATCTGGTGGGTGGTTCACATGGAGAAATATGCTCTTTTCTGTGAATGTAAAATCCAAATGTAACCCTTACGGTTTAATTCACTCTAACGTTGACTTTTCATCAGATTCACTTCTTTGGTCAGATCTCTTTTGCGTGAGGAAGATATTTTGTTATGTTTAATCTGCTCTTAATCATTATGTGATTAATCATTCTTACGCAAAGACTTGCAATCTTTGTCTTAAATCTGCCTTTTGCGCTTGCCCAATTGGACTGGAGTACTTAAAGATGGTGGGCTTGGTTGACATGTTCCAATGATGTGTAAAGGCCAGCATTAAATATTGGACAGCTGAAAAGCTGGTTATATGCCACTCAAGAGATTGTTGCTTATCGGAGAGCTTTGGTAGTAACTTTTAGACTATTTAGAGCGATTCTGGGTAAAACCGACAATCTAGTTCGATCTCGTCCGATGTCAACAACAACAACACACACACACACTCGGAATTCCCTTAAAAAGCACTTTTATAAATGTCGATATGGAGCTGAGGTCGGTGGCTCCAGTAAGGGCTGATGAAATGTTCCTGTGGAAAGTGTAATTTCTTTACTGCTGGGGTTGAGGATGCGAATCCAACTGATTGTGGAAAGTGTTTGGCCAGATCTGAACTATGAAAGGTAGAAGAAGTAAACTGTCATTGGACCGAGCGGATTTAATACAAGTATCAAATCAAAAAGATTGTGCAGAATAGATGGAAACAAGCTTGGGTAGGCTTTAATTTTCCACGATGAGATGCGAATGATTTGGCAATTTATAGAGCAATATTCTCTAATAGTCCCTCATTGACCTGCCCTGCAGCGGATGTCAGATCGGCTTTGTGTCCTGACTGGGTTCAGCTGGATTGGCTGCAATGTTGGACTATTGGCCCAGTCTTGTTGGCCTGGGTCTGCATTGTGAGTCAGAAATTCTAGATGAGGACATGTATGATGGCTTCGGTCTCGAACTATGCATAGTGGATTGTGGATGAGGTCTATGATGGTACCTCTTTCTTTATGGGCTTGATTTTGTCTTGAAATGAATCCTATCAAATTACTTTTCTTCTTACAGGTAATTTACTTCTCCAGTTGAACCCGTCGGATTGACTGGCGTAAATATCCCACTTTTTTCCGGACAGCGCCCAGCGATTATTTTCAGACCAAGGCCTTGGCGCAGCGGGAAAAGCACTTTGGCTGGACTTGGATTGGAGCTCTTGCTAATGACGACGATTACGGGAGATTTGGGATCCAGCAATTCATCGAACAGGTCACCGAGTTTGGCGTTTGTGTCACTTCCTCGTACATTTTGCCGAAGAGAAGATATGTCAAACCGTGGCTGTGATAAAAAAGATCATCAGCCAAAGTTATTGTCGTCTTCAGCGCCGAAAGGGAAATGTTTCAATTAGTTCAGCAGATCGCGAGCCAAAATGTGACTGGGAACCATTGTCCATGAGGCCACTATCGGAGAACCCACAGATGACGTCACATCCGCCACCGCCGGGTTCCCCACTTCCGGGACAGCAAACACCATCGCTGCCGTTGCCACCGACACTGAAGTCGCGACCACCCTCACCGCGACTGCCGCCGCCGACCCCGCTCCTCCTACCTCCGACGCCGGTCCGCCCATCACCGACGCGGACGCAACTCCACCCACCGCCGGCGCAACTCCGCCCACCGCCGACACCGGCACAACTCCGCCCACCGCCGACGCAGCTCCGCCCACAGCCGACGCCGACGCAGCTCCGCCCACAGCCGACGCCGACACAGCTCCGCCCACAGCCGACGCCGACACAGCTCCGCCCACAGCCTCCACAGCCAGCAGCTCCAGAGGAGACAGCACCCAGCCCTGCCGAGTCTTCACCATCCCCCCAGACCTACCCCTTGCTGAGGACGAACGGTCAGTCCTCAGTAAAGGGCTCACCTTTGTCCCCCTCCACCCACAGATCAACGAATACCGCTCACGCTTGGACATAGAGCAGTTTTTCCGCCGCCTCCGCCTCCACGCTTACTTCTTCAACCGTGAACCTAACCCTCCCTCTACTGACCCCTTCTCCCGCTTCCAACACACCCCCTCCTCCTGGACACCACCCCAAGGCCTCCTACCCTCCCTCGACCTCTTCATCTCCAACTGCCGTCGAGACATCAATCGCCTCAACCTCTCCACCCCTCTCACCCACTCCAACCTCTCCCCCGCAGAACGTGCAGCCCTCCGCTCCCTCCGCTCCAATCCCAACTTCACCATAAAACCCGCGGACAAGGGAGGTGCAGTTGTAGTATGGCGCACTGACCTCTACATCGCCGAGGCCGGACGCCAACTCTCCGACACCTCCTCCTACCGCCCCCTTGATCATGACCCCACCCCTGAGCACCAAACCATCATCTCACAAACCATCCACAACCTCATCACCTCAGGTGACCTCCCACCCACGGCCTCCAACCTCATCGTTCCCCAACCTCGCACTGCCCGCTTCTATCTCCTTCCCAAAATCCACAAACCTGAATGCCCTGGTCGACCCATTGTCTCCGCCTGCTCCTGCCCCACCGAACTGATCTCCAACTATCTAGACTCCATTTTCTCCCCCTTGGTCCAGGAACTCCCTACCTATGTCCGTGA